CTAACCGTAGGGCTAGAGAGGGCTTCCCCTCCCCCGCATCTTACCTCCACATCACCGAAGGCCTACTTACAGCAGTTTCTTTTATCCAGTACATCATGTCTGGTTTTCAGTAAAAAAATTATAAGGCACACTAAAAGGCAACAAACAGTGTGAAGAGCTTGAACAAGTCAGATATGGCAGGAATGTTGAAACCAGCAGACTAGGATTTTTTTTTTTTTTTTTTTTTTTTTTTTGAGATGAAGTCTCACACTGTTGCCCAGGCTGGAGTGCAGTGGCGTGATCTCAGCTCACTGCAACCTCTGCCTCCCGGGTTCAAGCAATTCTTCTGCCTCAGCCTCCTGAGCAACAGCATGTGCCACCACATCCAGCTAATTTTTTGTATTTTTAGTAGAGACGAGGTTTCACTATGTTGGCCAAACTGGTCTCGAACTCCTGACCTTGTGATCCGCCTGCCTTGGCCTCCCAAAGTGCTGGGATTATAGGCCTGAGCCACCATACCAAGGCATTGGAATTTTGAAAATCCTGATTAATATGCTGAGGGCTAATTCTGAGAGGCGATTAAAACAGTTGTCAGGAAATATGAGTGTTAATTAATAACAATAATATGAAAAGTCAATCAAAAAACAATAAAATTATTAATTCTAGAAATTACAAAAGATTGTTTATCATATGCTATGCAGCATATGTATGATCATAATATTGCAAACACATGAATATTAACCTAATCAAAATCACTTTTTACTTATACTGGAGGGATGGGTGGTGGCTAGTGTTCACATGTGTGGTAGGGTCGACAGAGAAGTGGAGGGAAGAAAGAGTGCCAAGTTCTTATCATCTATAACAGGAAGTCCAAAGGTAAATGCCTAAAACTGAAAACTCAAGTAGTAGCAAGATACACGTTGTTAAAAGTGCAGAGGTAAATTTCTAGAGGATCTATTGAAAAGTAGTTACCTTTGGGGGACTGGAAGTGTGAGGGAGAAAAGGAGACAGCTGCTTTTCTCGGGAGCCTGTAGCACTGTCTCTTTAGACAATGTGCATACTCAACGACAGTGAATAGACATGGAGCTGCAAACTGCGATGCTAAAGACAAACAGATTTGGGTTCAAGTCTGTGAGAAAAGACTGTGACTACACTCTCACACAGAACACTTCTGACACCAGATGTGTGGGTTTTTTCCTACTCTGATCAATTATCTGACACCGACTGGGTGTCCTACAATTCAGTTCAATTCTGACACTCCCTCCCCGTTGCTAGCATCAGATCCTGTATCCATAATAGGTCCTCTGCCTGATGTGCGTGCTGGCGTCAATATGCTGAGACACCAGGTTGCAGCAGAGAGATTTAACTGTTGAGCTGCCGGACAAACAGAAAAGAGGAAACCTCACATCTCCAAGGAGCTTGGGGCTAGGATTTTTATGGTTTTTTTGGTGGGCCAAAGTGTGGAGACTGTTGATTGGTTAAAGAGAGCAAGTTGAAATTATGGGAAAGGGGAATGAAGAAATGTTATTCTCATGCTGATTCCGTTCCTTTGTGGGAGTGTTCAAACTGGTTGGCGTCAGGCGTTTTGCTGGGATTCAGGATCTGAAAGACATCTTAAGCAATTCTTAAAAGCTTTAGGATTCTAATGCCAGAAATCTTATCTATAGGAACAACGGGGATAGGCATGGTCACTATCTAATGACTTTTGGTTACAAGGAAGTGGGTCAAATTGCAGTCTGATTAATGCTTATAATAACTATATTTCTGTCCAGGATTCCTGTTAACCCCGTGAAGATAGCTTCAATTCCACAAATGAAGGGCTCAGTCTTGCAAGACTGCCGTTGCTTCCTACACCAGTTGTGTCTAAGCCTCCTGTACTTCTGATCAACTGGCTATTAATTGGGAGTTTCCATGACCGTACCTGCTAGAGCAGCTCTCAGAGTTCAGGGGAACAACTTACATTTCCTGGTTTATTTTACAGATATTACAAAGGCTGTAGATTAAGAGGTGCATAGGGCAAGGTCCAGAAGGGTCCTGAATGTAGAAGCTTTGATCCTTTGCAGAGTTAAGGTGCCACCCTCCCGGCACAAAGATGCATTCACTACCCGGGAGCTCATCATATCATGTTGATTAAGAGTCTTTGTAGAGCGTAACCTCCACACTCCCACTCCCACCCCAACTGTCCTGGAGGTTGGTGGGTTGGGCTGAAAGTTCCAATCCTTTAGTCACTGTTCTTTCTGGTGGGCGTGCCCATTCTGAAGCTAACTAGGGGCCCCACCCAAGGTCACCTTGTTAGGGTAAACATAGGTGACAATGGAAGGGGTTTGTTAAGAATGTCAAAAGACACTCCTATCACTCAGGAAAATTCCAAGGGGTTTAGAAGCCCTGTACCAGGAACCTGGGACAAAGACCAAATATAGTTCTTATTATACAACAAATTCCCACTTCCAAAATTGTGTGACCCCATTCCAGTGACTTAGGCCCACTGAGACTCAATTTCTTCATCAGACAAATGATGCCAACAATCTCGGGGGGTTGGAATAAAAAGTCAAATGCTTCACTATGACCAACTTAAATTACCATTTATTAGTGGCTTCAAAGGCACAGCCTTAGCAGGAGATAAGATTGGTCCTGGGTGTCATGTAAAGCTGGAGTCTTTACATGGGGTCATCCTCCCACCCCATTCTATTGTTTTAAGGTATCCTTCATTAAGTTTAGGGAGTGGGATGGACAGAGCTCAAAAGCCAGGAAGTAAAAACCAGAGTTTCATACTTAACATCATGTCTAGAAAATAACTTTGGCTGGAATTAATTTATTGTACATGGAACTGACTAGAAATCCATCTAAGTTTTTGAGAGAATTGATTTATCAAAAAGCCCACTAGTCTAGACTGAAAAACCTGTGAAAGCAATCTCTGTTCCCCAAATCTGCTTCAGCAGGAAGCAGGCAGCAAAAAATCTGCAGCTCTGCCAAATGGGGCTTGGATGTGGTCAGGGAGGACCTCAGGAGGGCAAAGCCAGGGCTTTGGGGGACAATGAACTGGGGAGTTCCTCCCAGACAGCGGACCCCGTGCAGACTAGGGATAATACCTCCAAGGCAGACAGAGTCTTTGCAATACCTCCCAGTAGAATTTGACAGTGGCCAGAGAACTGGCTCTTGCTGGTTCTTTGCATTCCCTTTTGCTAATTTTTTTTTTTTTTTTTTTGCTTCACCATTGTATATCAGATACCTGAGAGGACAGCTTGCTTATTCTTTAGTTTATAAGTAGCTAGATGACAAAGAGCCACATTCAGACTTGAAGGAGAGGCCTGCATGTTACCCCATATGTAACTGCTGGGCCCCTGTGGTGGTCTTCTCTGCATTAGGACTGAGTGTGCTATGTGTGGGAAAAGGATACACTTGGATATTTTTGTAGTGAAAGGGATAGACTACATCAGAAATTATATTTATCCCCTGATTTCTGCTCTCCATTTTTTCCCATAGTAATAGAACTTGGCTTCCCAGATAAGGACTATGTATCTCCCAGCTTCCCGTGCAGCTAGTTGTGGTCAGGTAACCAAGTCCTGGCAACCAATATAGTGTTTATTGGTTTATAGGACTCTTCCTTGAGAGACAGCTGTTTTAAGTCTTTTGAACTTTCTTTCTCCCCTTACCTTTGTTTTCTTGGATGTAGATGTGATAGTTAAAGCTGGAGCTGCCATCTTGGATTATGAAGTAACCATGGATATGGAAGACACATATGATGAAACAAGGTAAAAGCAGCCTGGTTCCTTGATGCTCTGGCCAACTTACCTCTAGACTTTTTTGAAGCAGAGAAATAGGCTTGCTTAAGCTACAGGTACTTTGCGTATTTTGTGATGTGCAGTTGAACCTAAGTATAAGTAACACCAAAACAATTGAGAGGTAAGGCAGGATTTAGATTGTAGTCAGCATACCAACTTTTAAATGAAAACTGGATTGGAGAATATGGCTTAGACCAGCAACCAAAGACATGGGATTCTACTATTAGCACCCTCAAGTTTGGGTCTTGATCTGCTGCGTAGGAAGGGCAGACTAAATAGCAGACACCCAGCCAGCTGGAGTTTTCAGAAACCTTTGTGTTCCTGTGGCTCACCTGGGGATCCTGCTGGAATACTGTTGATTCAGTAGGTCTGGGGTAGGGACTGAGATTCTGCTTTTCTAACAAGCTTCCAAGTGCAGATGCTGCTGGTCCAAGGGTCTCACTAAAGGTAGGAAGAATCTGCTTCACACCCCAATGAAGTGTTCAGAACCAAGAGCCTGTCCTGTGCCCTGACCCTACTTGGATGGAAACTCAGGGGGAGGAGTTCATAAGAGGTGGAGAGAAGGCAGCCATAGAGTATTTGTTCTCCAACCAAATACCTGGGGAGCTTCAAAACACTGATGTCCACTTCTGACCCTCAGAGCTGCTTCTGGGCTTGACCCTTGAATTGAGAAGTTTAAAAGGTTCTCTGATGACCCTAAGGGACCCACTGCCCTAGAGGGCTCATGTTTCGATGGAAGTTCCTGCTTACGGGCTGAGGCAAGAACTCTAAAGTCCCTCCTACACTCAGGTCTGGGACTGGGGTAAGATGAGTGAGGCACCCACCTTGGTCATTAAGGTTAAGGGGAAGGAAATGCCACTTAGTAATCAAATAATATTTGAACACAATATTTTAAGAAATCAAAATTAACATAAATAATTCACAATGAATAAAATACAAACATTTTCAATAAAGACAGGATCTGTAACTGCCCTGTGGAGCCATATTGGAGCAAAAGAAAAAAAAGTGATACTGACCCTGCAGGCTACTTGGATTATTAGCTCTCTGTCCTCCTAACTTCTGGGGCTAAACAACCCAGCTAAAGGTCACCAGAGGGGGGCTGCTCCCCAACCTATGTGAGCCCCTCCTGCTGGCAACTGCTGATCCTGGGACCAGTGATAGGCAGGTCCACCTTTGCCCTCAAATGGTTCCAAACTAGGTCACTACAGCCCTTTAAATAAATTAACCAAAACCATAAGAATAACCACAAAACACATTTATTAAGTGCTAAGTATTTTACAAATGTTAACTCACTTGATCTTCAATCTTATGAAGTAGGTGTTATTTCCTTTTACAGGTGACTAAACTGAGGCACGGGGGTTTAATAAGCTTGCCCAAAACTACACAGCAAGGAGGAAGCTGCGTCGGGAATCAAACTCACTCAGCGTGGCCCCCAAGTCCATGCTCATAACCGCTATTCTAATTTCTGTCTCACAGTGGGCCCAGTCATGGTTTCAACACAGCTCAGCAGAGCAATGCAGCAAATCCAGGTAGCAACACTGAAATACACAGAAAAGACCACTCAAGCAATGAAAGAGTAACATCAGCAAACAGAACAACTAATGTGAATCACGAGAACCCTCTGTCTTTATTACACTTGGGGGAAGAAATCAAGGTCACGGTGACAAGGCATAGAAATGAGTGCCTTCCCCTGGTTTCCAGGCTGGCAGGTGGGCATCAGCGGATGGTGTACTTGTCCCACTTCTTCTCGGGGTCATAGGGCTCCCAGCGGCTGGCGGGGAAGATGTGCTTGTTCTTCTCGTACCAGCTCCGCAGCACCACCTTGCCGGCGTGCGACTCATCCTTCTCCATGGTGGCGTCGCTGAGCAGCCGCACGTCGTCGTGCACGTCGAAGCTGAAGAGCGGCCCGCTCTTGCCCCTCGCCCTGGCGATGATGAAGTCGTAGAAGGTGTGGTAGTGCGGGAGGATGAGGTCTTCCTTGATGTACATGAGCTGCTCCACGCCGGCGGAGCGCAGCTCCAGGAAGTCCTTGCGCAGCCCCTGCAGCGCCTTCTTCAGGAACTGCTGCACGGTGTTGCCCTTGCGCACGCGCAACGTGCGCCGGTGGCCCGAGCCGTCCCAGTAGCTGAAGGTGACCTCCATCTCCTCGTCCTTCACCTTCTCGCGCTGCGCCTCCCACTCCTGGCGCAGCTCCTCCCGGAGCCGGTTCTCCTCCTCCTCGCGGTCGCGGTCTGGCAGGAAGCTGGTGTCCACGTCGGGGTCCTTGCCCAGGTTTCCGGGGCGCCTGGCCTCGGCCGCGTTGGTCGCGTCGGCCGCTTCGGCCTGGTCATCGAGATCGTCGAGCGCGAAGGACAGGCAGGAGATCTTGCGCTTGCGCTCGCGCCGCTGCTCCTGCTCGCGCAGCCTCTCCTGCTGCAGCCGCTGCTGCTCCTGCTGCTGGCGCTGGGCCAGCTGCCGCTCGCGCTCCCGGACCAGGGCCTCCTGCCGGGCCTTCATGTCGTTCAGGGTCACCAGGCCCACCGTGCTGGACTTCAGCTCGGCCTCCACGGCGTCATAGTGCGCGGAGAACTTCTTATCTACCTGCGACTTGAGGATGGTCTCCTCGGCGATGCGCTGCTTCAGCACCTCCATCTGCTCCCGCTGCTTCTCGCGCTTCTTGAGGAGTTGCATGGCGCGGCCGGCCTCGCGCATGGTGCCCTTGTACTGCGCCATCGCCCGCGCCTACCCGGTGGGCTCTGCAGCAAGGAGGAAAAACGCAGAAGGTATAGAGGGACCAGCGCAACGGCGGGGAATGCGTAGCAGCGCCTCCTCACAGGGCTTTCGGCCGTGATGGAAGCGTTCCGGGGCTGGGCCGACCTGCTAGGGTAACCACCGGCCTGGCAGTGTCGCCGCGCACCAATAAATGCAAATGCGAATGGCCACACGTCATTGGTGGCTGCCACGCCAGAGGGCTGCGCTGAATTTGGGGAGCGGCATACAGAGACGGTTGGGCTACAGAGCGGACCCTTACCTGCCCAAGCACTCGGTCGAGCGGAGACAAGCGGGAGTTGAGCTCCAAGAGAGCCACCCACGAGCAGAGGTCCACCCGTGCCCGGTTCCCGTGACAGGCGCAGACACAGGAAGTGGAGGCGGCGCCCCCTGGCGGGGAGGCGGGCCCTGAGGAGAGTACCGGGCTCCTGGTAGGGCAGCTGCGGAAACAGGAAGTGGAGGCGGCTCGCCCCCTGCCGGGGAGGCGGGCCCTGGGGAGAGTCCAGGCTCCTGGTAGGGTCAGTGCTCCTGAGGGGCGGGCCAGCGCGGGGAGGAGCCTGGGAAGGCGCCTCTGTCCCTGTCCAACCGAGGCTGCGTGGGGCCACTGTTTACGTGCTGTGGGCAGTGCGCCTGCCCAGACCCGCGGTGTGTGCGTGCTGAGCCTTCTCGTGCCCGGTTGTGGACACGCAAAGCAATGTGGGCGCAGCTCGGGGTGCTGTCGCCATCCAGAGAGCCTTGCAACTGCCCTGCAAGGCTGCAGTCCTACTCTCTAACCTTCCTCCTCCCGTGTCTCCTCCCGCCTCTGACGCTACCCCGCCGAGACCCTCCGGTGAACATTACTTGCGCACCATTCCTTGTATTCGTTCTTATGGCCCCAACGCAACAGCCATTCTTTCATCGTTGAATCCTACTCGCCCCCCAATTTCATGACAGAATCTACTCTGAGATTGTTTGACCTCCTTTAAGGCAGTTTCCCACAAATTCTAGGTTCTAATAACCATGGGAAACTGAGTTAAAGTATAGCAGTGTCTTTACTGTGAGCCTTTAAAATGCTAGTTTCCACCGTAACTCTCCAAGAGCAGAGGAGACCAGTTCATGTTTTGTGCCCGTCTCTCCCCTCCAGAGATCTGGTAATACTCACTGAAACTGGTGCTTCATGAGACCTGGTTTGGAAAAGCTGGTTGTGAAATATATGCCTGTGGTTCTGCCTTCTCCCGTCTAATAGCAACAATGCCTGTGAACATAACCTTACCAAGAAGCCTGAATCATGTGATAAATACATATGGCACCCACATATCCAAAGGAGCATAGATCACGGTATGAGCACTCATCAAATTGTCCAAACCAGAAACCTAGGCGTTTTCCTGGAATGACCTTCCTTCACGTTTAATCAGTTACAGAGAAGCCTTTCACACTTTTTTCTCCCATTCCCCACCACTCGCCTTAATCTAAGAAACTGGCACCTGGTGTTTTTCTTTTCTTTTCTTTTTTTTTTTTTTCATCTAAAGCCTTGTCATTGTTGTCCCATCACCAGAATACAAGCATATCTCATTTCATTGAGCTCTGCGGATATTGTATGTTTTGGTTTTGTTTTTACAAATTGAAGGTTTGTGGCAATACTGCATCAAGCATCTATTGGCTCCATTTTTCCACCAGCGCTGTGTTCACTTTGTGTTCCTGTGTCACATTTTGGTAATTCTTGCAATATTTCATACTTTTTCATTATGATATCTGCTGTGGTGATCTGTGAGGTTACTACTGTCATTGGGGGCACGCCGAAGTGTGCACATAGAAGATAAAGACATTTATTGATTTAATCGATAAATGCTGTGTATGTTCTGACTGCTCCACTCATTGTGTTCCTTCATCTCTCTTCCTCTCCCCAGGCTTCCCTAGTCCCTGCGACACAACGATATTGAAAGCAGGCTAATTAAAAACCCTACAATGGCCTCTAAGTGTTCAAGTGAAAAGAAGTGTCACACATCTCTCACTTTAAATCAAAGGCTTGAAATGATTCAGCTTAGTGAGGAAAGCATGTCAAAAGCCAAGACAGGCCAAAAGCTAGGCCTCTTTTGCCAAACAGTTAGCTAAGTTGTGAATGCAAAGGAAAAGTTCCTGAAGGAAATTACAAGTGCTACTCTAGTAAACATATGAATGACAAGAAAGCAAAACAGCCTTATTGCTCATATGGAGAAAGTTCTAGTGGTCTGGCTAAAAGATCAAATCAGCCCCAACAAGCCCTTAAGCCAAAGCATAATCCAGGGCAGGGCTCTAAGTCTCTTCAATTCTATGAAGCTGAGAGAGGTAAGGAAGCTTCAGAAGAAAAGTCCAAAGAGGTTGGTTCATGAGTTGAGGAAAGAAGTCATCTCTATGATATAAAGTGCAAGGTGAGGCAGCAAGTGCTGATGGAGAAGCTGCAGCAAGTTATCCAGAAGATCTAGCTCAGAGCATTGATGAAGGAGGCTACCCTAGACAGAAGATTTTCAGTGTAGACAAAACAATCTTCCACTGGAAGAAAAAAGGACTTTGCCATTTAGGACTATGCCATTTAGGACTTTTATAGCTAGAGAGGAGAGGTCAATGCCAGGCTTCATAGCTTGAAAGGACAGGTTGACTCTCTTGCTAGGGGCTAATGCAGCTGGAGACTTTCAGTTGAAGCCAATGCTAATTTACCATTCTGAAAATCTTAAGGGCCCTTAAGAATTATTATGCTAAATCTACTCTGCCTGTGCTCTATAAATGGAATAACAAAGCCTGGAGGACAGCACATCTGTTTACAGCATGGTTTGCTGAATGATTTAAGCCCAGCGTTGAGACCTACTGTTCTGATGTTTCCTTTCAAAATATTACTACTTATTAACAATGCACTTGGTCACCTAAGAGCTTGACGGAGATACACAAGGAGGTTAATGTGATTTCATGCTTGCTAACACAACGTCCATTCTGCAACCCATAGATCAAGGAGTAGTTTTGACTTCCAAGTCTTATTATTTAAGAAATACATTTCCAAAGGCTATAGCTGCTGTAGATAATGATTTCTCTGATGGATGTGGGCTAAGTAAATTGAAATTTTTCTAGAAGGCGTTCACCACTGTAGGTGCCATTGAGGACATTCACAATTTTGGGGAGGAGGTAAAATATCAACATTAACAGAAGTTTGGAAGAAGTTGATTCAAACAACATTACATGCTACAGAGAAATTTTTCATGAAAGGAAGAATCAATCAAAGTGGCAAACTTCAGTGTTGACATATTTTAAGAAATTGCCACAGGCCCAGCCTTTGGCAACTACCACCCTGATCAATCAGCAGCCATTAACACTGAGGCAAGACCCTCCACCAGCAAATAGATCACAGCTCACTGAAGGCTCAAAGGATCATTAGCAGTTTTTAGCAATTAAATATTTTTAATGAAATGATACATTATTTTCTTAGACACAATGCTACTGAATACTTACTAGACTACAGTATAGTGTAAACATAACTTTTATATGCACTAGAAAATTTTAAAATGCATGTGACTGTCTTTGTGGTGGTCTGCAACTGGACCCACATTATCTCCAGGGTATGCCTGTATTCCTGGTCTTGTCTAACTTCTATACAGTATCTCCAGTGATCTTCATTAAAAATCAGTCTGATAACATCACTCTCCTACTTGAAAAACTCCAACTTCCCTTGTCAGATCCACATCAGAATCTCTTTGTCCTCCAAGGTCTCATAGGTGGACCCATGCAGCACCCACCCAGCTTTTTCACTGTGTCTGAATAGAAGATGTCTTTTCATAACTGTTACCTTTGGACATACCTTTTTGGAAAGTCCTGCCATTCGCTGTGCTATCCCTGAAGATCAGCGCAAATGTCATCTCCAAGAGGAAGCCTCGAGCACCCACCATCACCGTTACCACACACAGATGGACAAAGTTACCAATAGTCTCCTTTCTCAGGTTTCCCATATAATTACCTTTATTACACTCAACAGAAGCAAGAGAGCCTCGCCACATCTTTTTTCAATTAAATGATCCAACCTGCTAAATTTTAATTCAATCAACTATAGTTTGGCCACCAATATTATATTCAACCTTTCTCTAATTGAATCAGAACTTGAATGTCAATATCACACCTAAACCTTATCATCCATCCTCCCATTACCCAGCATCAAATTCCTGAATTCAGTCACGGTCTCCAAATACAGTAGCTAGCTCCCAGAATTAAAAGGTTGAGCCTCAAATTCTCAGAAAAGTTTAAGAACAACCAAATGAAGCAGATTTATCTTAAAAGTCTGATACCTTGTTCTTTAGAATTTTCCCCTAAGTTCCAAGGTAGTAACTTCCTCTTTCAGCCTCAATTCTCAGTGAAAAGTACCCACCAAACTAAGAGAATGAGGACATGAGCCCACACAAATGGTGAAACATTAAAAAAGAAGAATAAATAGAATAAAAAAGAATGATTGTTTTAGTTATTATAACCTGATTCAGACATTGTGGTTTATCTTTTAAATAGGTTTTGTCATAAAGGAGGAAATAGGCATGTTACAGAAAAGTTTAAAAAGAAATGTAAAGAAATAAAAAGATCACTCAACATAAACACATAAGTAACGTAACTATTAACGTGTGCAAGTTCCTTTCTAATATTTTATGTGCACATAGATCTGTATATATTTAGCAATGTTCATCCCGTTTGGTGACTTTTTTCCATTTAAGTCTCCTTCTTCTTCTTCCTTCTTCTTCTCCTTCTTCTTCTTCTTCCTCTTCCTCTTCCTCTTCCTCTTCCACTTCTCCTTCTCCTTCTCCTTCTCCTCCTCCTCCTCCTTCTTCTTCTCCTTCTTCTCCTTCTTCTTCCTCTTCTGCTTCTGCTTCTGCTGCTTCTTCTCCTCCTTCTTCTTTCTTCTTCTTTCTTCTTCTTCTTCTTTTTTAAGATGGAGTCTCGCCCTGTTGCCCAGGCTGGAGTACGGTGGCACAATCTTGGCTCATTGCTACCTCCACCTCCTGGGTTCAAGTGATTCTCCTGCTTCAGACTCCTGAGTAGTTGGGATGACAGGCGCACACCACCACACCCAGCTAATTTTTGTATTTTTAGTAGAGATGGAGTTTGACCATGTTGATCAGGCTGGTCTCAAACTCCTGATTTCAGGTGATCTGCCCACCTTGCCTCCCAAATTGCTGAGATTACAAGTGTGAGCCACCGTGCCAAGCCAGTATTCCTCTTATTTTTATATAATCATCATAGTCATTGATTTAAATAAATGTCGTACATTCTACTGTTAAAAAAATTAAAGTATCAATAGCAATAATACAACAGAGGGGAGGGAACAGCATTCTGTTCTAGTGACTCAGAAATGTTGATTAAATACACAAACTAATTTAGAAAAAAATGTGTTCTCCAGACTTAGTCACAAAGTATGCAAGCAGC